CTTGCAAACTATTTATACTCTCAATGCAGAAATGAGCGTTAGGCATTAACTTCCAAATGAGCCTAATATATCAAAGATTAAATGCGAACAAAAACATTTATAAAACTTTAAAATTTGAAAATTTGGCTAATTTAAGAGCTGTACTTCCTAGGTGTTTTCAATCTCAAATTAATTCTGATAATAATTGATTTCTCAATGAAACTTCAAATATTTACTGATATTACAATTTGAACATTTTTTATTTTTCAAAAAGTATTTGTATTATACTTCTTATAGTTTTTTATGGCTGTGTTGTGATGTATAATACAAATATTACTTAATATTGCTCGTTTCATTAAATAATTAAATTCTTAAAAAGCAAATTTTTATGCTTGCAAAATGTAACAATGAATTTTCGACAGAATTATGACAATTTAAAAGTATTTTCACAACTAACTTTGACAAAAACTTTTAACTTGACTTGGAAAAGGAAAAGCTAGCTATTCCAGCTTCTTCTGATTGACTGCATGAAGTTGCCTCTAGTAAAATTAAGCAGTATATTTGAAATTGAAAATACAATCATAACAGACAATAAAATGTTAGTCATTCTAATTTTCGCTTTAATTGTGCTTACAGCTTTTTTCAAAAATTTTATCTCGTAAGTCACCCAGATATGTTTTTATGAATTTAATTATTATATCAATAAAAAGCAGTAGCTAAGAAACTTACATATAAGTATATTTATAGGCTTTCAGAACTTGACAAAACTTCAGAAACTGCTTTCAAAATTGGTTTATTTAAGAAAAATTTAAATCAAATCCATCAAATTTTTGAAATTTCATTTGAACTAATTTTCAAATATTTTCCAATAAGTCAATCGGATTTAAAGACTATCACGTGGAATAAATCTTGAAAATAGTAATACAATAAAAATTGACAAAATCAAACCAGTATATTTTATTGAATTTCCGATAAATGCATATACAATTGTTTAACAACACATTTGAAAGGATTTACAATGAAGTCAACAACCCTTTAAGTAAACTTTGTGGGACAATAGTCTTAATCATTTAAATAGTTGGAATTAAAAACTTTGTTGTGGTTGGGCTGAGAGCACATTTCCAAGGATAAAGGAGAAACTATCTTTGACAAAGGTCATACCCACAGATATTAAATGATTTTTGAATGCGCAAATCGTTAACCTAAACGAATAACGTAGGTCAAAATGATTTGTATAGGTTAACGACTGAAAAGATTTGCAATTGCCTTTTCTCATTTTTCAATCACAATAAAATTGAAAAAAGTAGAACTTAGCAATCAAAAAGCATATTGAATTTTGTAAAAACTGTTGCGCAAAAAATTGACTAAAATAATTATAAAAATTATTATATAATTACATAGATATTGTGCTTCATATTTATTGAATGACAGTCAGTAAATATGCTTTTATGTTCTATTAATTCCTTCATTAAAGGCACAAAAGTTTTGCTTTTATTAAATTGTTTACATTAATTTTAGAATTATTATGCAAAAAAAGTTGACTGATGAAAGGAGGAAGCAATAATGCCTAAACTCCTGAAAATGAATATTTTTTCAACAAATAATAAATTCATTTAATTTAGAATTAAATGACATCCGATTAATAACAAATTTAGAAATATAAAAAAATTTTCAATGAAATGAAAAAATTAAAAACAAGCTGTATGATATATTTCAATGACCACAGAAGAAATCTCAGCACAAATTTGACAGTAATGACATATAAGGTCATCTAAGAGCCATCTGACCAATAAATCAGTAAAAATATGCCAAAAATAACATGGCAAAACACTTTCCAAAGGTACAAGTTTTGTTATGTAAAAAATTTTATTAGATAAAAAGTATGCATATTACTTTGAAATATGAAAATGAAGATGACGAGCAAATGTTGTAATAGAACATGAAAATATTACATAACTTAATTAACTTTGACAATTTATTGATGAAAATTCATCTTTTAATAAAATCGAAGTGATTTTTAAAACTTACAGTAGCATTTAATTCAAAGGTAAGAACTAATGATTTGTAATTTTAGACTTTGTGAAAAATATATAACATGGTTTTGAAGTATCAATTGATATAGGTATTAATTTATATTATTTATAAAGTATTGTTGATTTGTAAATCACATGAAAAGTAATTATTATAATGGCAAGCAACATGAATTAAAGATTAAATGTAAGTCATATGAAAGTTTGAAGCTGACATTAATCTGTTCACACTAATGATCACATTTACATTTATTATAAATACACTTTCATTCTATTTTGCAGAATCTTAATGAAAAATTAAACTTGAAAAGCTTAAAAATTAACACTTCAAAGTCATTCCATAAAACGTTTCGGTTTGAAGCTATTTTATAATTTCGAACGTTATGAAAACTGCGCACTTAACGAATAAAATAAATAAAAAGATTTTAAATCGGAAATATGAGTGCCTGAATAATTATCACAATGTAATCAAGATTGAATAACTTATATTTTTAAATTTATTAGTAAAAAAATTGCAGTCCTCGCATTACAAACAAATACCTGAATTGTTTATAAGCAGTTCAAGACAGCAGGTTATTAATATCATAATATGATAGACTGCTAATAAGGCTTTTACTTTAAAAGATTTGAAGAATTCACTTTTTACTAAACTAATAACAGTATTCCTGTTTGATGCTTGAATAGCTTGACTTGCAAAAATAATAATCATAGATAAGCAAGACATAAAAGCAAAATATGACAATTAAGAATATTAAAATCTTGGATGAATTTAATAATCACATTAGAACTGACATTCTATCAAGCTAACTAAAACCACTTCCTAAAACTGAATAATCTTCTTAATATTTGTCCAGTTCAGCACTGAACTATTAGGGATGATGTGCTCAATAAGACATGTACAGCAATTTTTAATTATCCTAAAGAATATTACAAACATTTAAGTTTATTTATCAAACACCACAAATAGTATGTCTTAAACATATTTGTGAGTTCAAAATCTTGTGGCGCTATTAAATTAGTTAGAAGTAATTAACTTTTACTCACTTCATTGCTTAATTTTATCTATGAAGAAATTTATAATGAATTTTTTAATCAAATCTTTAAAGTGAACTTAATAATTAATATTTCTCCTATATTTATCGAACTTATAAAACTTAAAGTCAAAAACATTGAAACTTATCAAAAAATTTGTTTTATAAGTAGAAAAACATTGACATTTGATTAGACTTATCTTATGAATAATCTAATCATTCCATTTCATGCTCTGCAAAAAAGTTGTTTTCTCAAGACCATTTTTTTTTATCAATCTGATATTCACAACATGGTGATTATTAGACTTATTATCATTCCAAGGCAACACTAAACACCAAAGTTATAAAATATTGTCAGTTTCATTGAACGTAACTTCATAATAATAGTTTTGAGAAGAAATTTCTTGTGTATTTTGCAAATCAAAATTTAGCATTTGATATGATCGTAAGATCTGTCAAATATTCTGCATCTTATTTATACTTTCATTAGTTTTTGTGCTCAATTAATTATGCAAAATATTATCAGAATCATCGAGAATGCTAAAATACATATCGAAAACAATTCCTTCCATAATCAAATATTTCTTAAATAAGTGATAACACTAAGAGAGCAGAATAATAATATTATGTTTCTGAAGGAAGAAAGTAATAACTTTTAATTTTTAATACACTATATGCAGGATTTCTTCAGAAATTGAATTGAGCATAAATGCTTAATTTGCACAATAGACAAATATTGTGAGTGAATGAGGTGAAAGAGTGTGCTGAACAATAAATATCATTGAAAATAATTGCAAAAAGTTTGCATGGCTTATGCATGTCGAATTAAATGGCTATTATTAATTACTTGTAGAGATTTTTGTTGAGACTTACAGTTGCATTTATAAAAACAAGTGAAAAAATTACTATTTAAGACAAAAAATTAATAATGATTACCGCAATTTTTTTGTCTCACATCAATAGAAGGAAAAAACAATAATTATAATAAATTTATAAGCAATAATAATTAATAATAAATAAAATAATAACAATATTAAATTATAATTGTGAATAATAATATAAAAATGTAATGCGACCAAAATTTAACAAGTTGAAAAAAGAATTTTGTAAATTTGCATTACTTTATATGCAAATTTCAAGTTTGAACTACTGAAATAAAATGTATTTAAAGTCCTTGTGAAGGATCTTTCATTTTTATGAGCTATTATGGCATTACAAACGAATGCTAGCCGCAAAAGTTTGTTCATTTTTGTAATTAAATTTCCTTCAAAATTTGCAAGGAAAAACGTGAGAAAATTCGTCAAACTGTAGAGAATTTTGAACAATCGAAAACAATTAGCATATATATATAAATACTATATTAAAAAAGCGTTATGTATTCTTTCTTAAAATGTATTTATATTATTGTTATTATTATTATTATTATTACTATTTATTATTGGCTTTTTAACTTATGTTCAAATTGTTATTTCACTTATGCCATAAGGTGGGCAATTTTCTGTAATTATAGGATTGTGATAAGTTCTATCATTATTTTCGAAAGTGAAAATCAAGCGATATTTTAAACAAAATTCAGTAATGCCCAATGAAACGAATTCATATCATCGAAATAGTGAAAAGTTAGCTTCATTACATTTTTGCATTTCTACGCTCTCATTAGTTGTGATCATTCTGACTTTCTTCAGACAAAATGAGATTCTTCTCTGAAATTCGTTACTCAAACTATAAAAGTATGTGTTCCAGAAGTTAACATTTTGTTTTATAACTTGCAATTTAAAGTTTTGCAGCCATAATTGTTGTGGAATTTTTTAAAATTAAATACTATTTACGACCAAATATGGAAACTAAAGTTATATTTGATTCCTTTGTGCCGTTTACATCACTTACTGAATTTTTATTTTTCTACGTTATTTTCAGATTGTTGGTTAAATCTAATAAATGCGCATCACCAAGCACTGCAATGCAAGTCAGTCAATTCCTTTGTTTAATAATTGATATTATAATTTTCATAATTTTATTTTTTTATCAAATGAACCATAATGTTAGAATATTTTATCTATTATCCCTTTACAATTAAACGTAAGCAAATTTTGTTAGTTTGACAAAATAAATTCACATTGCTAGAATTCTTTAGTTTTGTGAATCTTTAAAAATTAAAAAAAAATTCTTAATGATTAGTTTATAAATAAAATAATTAATCGGCGTTTAGCAATTTTGCTGAAAGTTTTCAAAAATTTGAAGTCTCAAGTTAAAATAATTTAGAATGACAATGGAGCAGTAACTTCTGAACCATTTCTTCGACAAAGTGCAGGTAATTATTTATTGTTATTAGTTATCAACTATTTTTGTACTGCATTTTTTTAAACTAAACTTGTATATTTTTTTGCATAATTATTATTTCAAGAATCAAATGCAATCTATAGTTACTTGATACAAGCAAGTCGAGAAGTAGATGCGCAGACTCCCGTAAGTTATTTCTTTTCAAAATGACCAAAAATATATATAAGTTATGTAAAAAAGCGAGATTGAAATTACTAATTCATACATGATACGAATTTATTAAGACCGTTATCTGTACTTGTCTTATTCATTCTAAATTATTTTATTTTTAATTTTTGGGGCTTTGATCTAAGACAAAAATATTTCTAGATTGAGGAAGAATTAAAAAAAGCCGAATCTGATGACATATCAGGGTGGAAACGAGTCATCGATGTGTTTAAATGGACAGCTAAAGTGTGCTACATTCTTTGCCCACCGGTACCAAATCTGATCATACGAAAAGCTGCTTTCCATCCACCAAAACATTGTCATTACTATTTTTTAATCGGTGACGAGGTACGAAATTTCTGCTTTGCAGTAATATTTTCAACGTTCCAAAAATATTTAACTGCTTTTTATTCACTAAAATAGTTATTTTAATTCAATTATTATCATTTTGTTTGAAAATTAGTTGACTTTCCTTTTATCATAATTTTATAATATTAATTAAAAATTTTTAATCTTTCTTTAGATCTAACTGAAAGTTTGAAGAAAATTTTAAATAGTTATAATTTGTGATAGGAAATTTATGCGCTATATACTGTAAGCAAAATTTTGGTTACAATACAAAAATTGTGATTAATTAACGTCATCGAAATTATCTTTCTGGTCTTGTAATATGAATAAATCATCAAAGAAGACAATTTCAGGACGGTAAGCGACAAAAATTTTTAGATGCAAAAAGTGCTCAAGGAAGTAGTAATCTATCTCTCTGTTTACCACATTTATTATTGCCAAAGTTTAAAAATTCTGATGTTGCTGATCAGTTATTACGAATTGAGGTTCGAACTACTACAAAAGTATCGTAAAAAGGATCTTCAAGAATTAATTCATATTCATTCTAAAAGTTTCTGAAGTATTACAGTTCTAAATCTTCAATCTTTGTCATTAACTCATTATGAGCAAGAAGAGATGATGACAGTTGCCTTCAGTATCAAAAGCTGATCTCGAATACATGAGCTTTTGTATTGATAAATGATTGCAAAAAAGTAGAATTCACAAGTATTCAATAATTACTGATGCTGATTATATCATGATAATGGAACCAAACTGGAAATAGCACTAAACATAGCGAGCTGAAAGCATGTCTTCAATTATTCAGGTACATTTAGTAACATCAGCTAATGGTGATAATCTTGTTGCTCTGTATGCTCGATGTGAAAAATCATACCAGCGTAAGAAAGTGGCACCTTACGTTTTGCTCTTTGCGCAGCCAAACAGTTCTGACGTGGGTTCATGTATGCTTACTGATCCAAATTTGGCAAGTTTATCTATTTATTAGTTTCCTCGTTTTTATTTTGCTTAAATAATTCTATTGAAATCGTAATTTTCAAAAATTAAAAGATTTTGCACTTCATTACAGTATCAAGTTATTTTACAACAAAGATTCCTCAATTCACTGACAAACATTTCAGGTTGATATAGCAGATTTTCTGCAATGTGATTTAATGACCTTTGATTACAGTGGCTTCGGGCTGAGTACGGGAACTCCAACAGAAAAAAATGTTTATGACAATATGGAAGCTGTTTATAAGTAAGTTTGTCTAACCATTCAGAAAAGAGTACGCATTATTTAATCATCTTTAGAAATTGGATCATCTTTAGAATTTGGATGAATAGATTCTGACTGAGTGTACATAAAAACAAAAGCAAAATTTAAAATTGAATCTTTCAGATATTTAATTGAAGAATTGAGAGCACATCCAGATGAAATAGTCCTTCTTGGCTTCAGCATGGGAACTGCAGTCGCAATTAACTTGGCATCTTCACACAAGGTTCTTTTAGATTCTTCAGAACGTACAAATATTTAAATAACTTCAAATTTTCTTATAAATAACAGTGAACAGTGAATAATTTTGCAACATTCCCAGCATTAAAAGTACTATAATTATGTTCATTCTTTCAAATAATACATGCAATCAATCTATGAAAGTAATATCAATCAAAAGATATTCAAAAGTTATGTAGCAAATAAATACTTTTAATATATACAGTTCAAAAATCAGAAACTAAAGAAGAACGTATTACTTTTCCATAAAAATTCAAAGTTATATCTTTATTTCTCATATTAAAAAGTATTATTGTAATACTTGAAAAGCAAAAATGATTTTTGGTAAACATTTTTATTAATTAGGTTGCTGGTATGGTGCTCATTGCTCCCTTCACATCTCTATTACGAATTTTTAGACGTAATCCTGATAGTGATCGGACTTGCTGTTTAGATCAATTTGTCAGGTAAACTGTTGTTTAGATCAATTTGTCAGGTAGAACATCAAAACAAATCTATTTTTCAAAAATTCTTTTTACAAGTAATTTGCACATGCATAGAAACTCTTTGGAAATGCATTAACTAATCAATTTTGTATTCTTTTCAACTTGTTTAGCATAGATAAAGTATCAAATGTAAGCTGTCGCACGTTAATTTGTCACGGAATGAATGACGTGATTGTTTCTATAAATCATAGTGCCGTGTTGCAAAGTCGACTTCCGAATGCAACAAGACCATTTTATCTCGACAAAGCTACGCATCAAGTGAGCAAAATAATTCTTGCAATGTTAGAAATGAAATACCGAAGTCAATTCGGTCTCATTTCACTTGGTCCTTTCACATTTCACACTTGGTCCTTTTCTTCGCATACTCGGTCACTTCATCTAACATGCTAATTCGTTAGTTATGATAGCGTCAGTTTCTGTGCATTGAAAATTAAGCGAATGACTTTTTTTGAGGGTATATATTGTGAGCGTAAAATGTGGGATCGCGTACAACAGTTCTTGTTTTACGAACTTGATGGAAACAAAAAATGGAATGAGCCAGCTAAAACGAGGCGAACTTTCACTCATTATCAACGCTAATATGTCTGACACTTCAGCTATTCAGCATATCGTTCTGTTATACTATTTAATATACACCAAATGAATACAATTTGACAATAAATTTACGTCGCACACAATTCTGCAATACATTAAACCATTTGCAAGTTGTGAGGCACTGCAATACTTGACAGTTGAAATTAAAAATTATGGTTAAAGATTAAATGTGACCTACGTACTACGGAGATGCTTGAAGTTGATGGACCAACGAAGCAAATATGAATGTGGTAGATTTATTGTGACCGATTTATGAAGTAAATTCATGAAAATAACGGCAAAAATACATCAAATTTGGCGTTAACAAAAGTTTATGATGGCTTCCTGAAATGAAAAGAAGCATTAGGATTGTATTAGATTAATCAGGTACTAATGTGTGAAAGAGATAAATAAGGGATGAATAAACAAGGGATAACATTTTACAAACAAAATTTGAAGAAAAATAAATTGAATAATTGAGTGATTGATGATAAACTGATTAA